TTTATTTACCTGTTGTTGTTGAGTGTTATAATATCCTATAATTGGATTTGTTGGAAGTGCAGGAATTCCATTTGCATGTTTATTATCATCTACTATCCGTTGATTAGAAGTCGTTGATTGAGGTAAAGCTTGAGGTGGTTGTTGTTGGATTTGAGGTGGAGGTGGAGGTGGTGATGGTGATGGTGATTGTTTTATAGACGTCAAAGAATTTTGGTTCTATTAAGAGATAAACAAAGAGATAAAATAAAGAATAATAAATATTTGTTTCTACGTAAAAACATTTATGTAAAATATTATTTTAATGCTTACGATTCCATTCAAGAAATTTGGATTGATATGTATACAATTTCTACCATTAGCACCATCAACATTATTACCATTAATAAGGTTATTAGTAGCAGCATTATCAATTGGACTCCTTAATTGATGGTTATTATTATACCTTTGATTATGTTTCGTTAATGTTCCTTCAATTAAAGCAATTACATCATTAGAGAATATAGGTCCACAACCATTTAAACCAGCTTTCCAAGTAACCAACACTTTTTCAAGTTTTAATTTTGTGGCTTGGTCAACAGAATTATAGGTTTCCATAAAAATATTATAAAGATTTCTTGAGAATAGATGAACAAAAGGTCCACCAACATTTTTACTAATAGAATCAAGTAAATATAAAACAGGAAGTTTATGTTCAGGCGGACACTATTTATATTAATAAATTATTGAAAAAAAAAACAAGCATAATTGGATGAAATATTGAAAAAATAAAACATTTAATGCATTATTATTTATTATTATTATTTATAGAGATGATGAAACTTACACTATGGATTTGTTTTTCTATTGATTTAGCGATTGCTTTTGCAGCTGGTATATTTTCTTGAGCTATAATAGTTAAGTTAGTAATAATAGGTTTTGAGTTGAAGGTCAAGTCTTGTAAAGACGCCAAATAGTCTTGGTAAACACTTTCAAGATCAACGTCAACATTTGTCATTTTTTCTAAATATTTTATTTACAATATTATTTAATACTATTTTATTGAAGAAATTGAAAAAATAAATTTTATTGAAAGAAAAATATTTTTTTTTCGAAAAGATAATTTAAAAAGAGTTATTTTTTTAATTTTATTATTATTTTTAATAATTATATTTATTTTTTCTTTTATGGATTTTTTAATTAACTTTGTATGTACACTCACTGGTCATCAGTGTCTGAAATTGAGTGCGGGGGTTTGTGTTACATATTGAATTTAGCCAATCAACGTTAAATTTTCTACCAGA